CAGTGTTGATTCGAATGGGTTACCTCACGTGACTGGGAATGTGTGAACCGAATCGAAGAACAAATCACATTAAATAAACCATTCCGTGAAAACATGTGTTAATTCTCATTTACATGATGGTTATATTACAGCACGAGCCGTTTCAATTGTAATCAGATCTAACGGCCTTGTCAAGAAGTTAAAGCGTCCACACCGACATGAGCACCACACATTATCGATTTCAATGGGGACGATTATATGCATACTTTGACCGGTAGATCTCCGACAATTTATTAAATTTCAAGCAAGAAGCGCATTTTGGCATCGAATTACCGCCAACACGAAAAATTATACAACCCAAGTTCAAGTTCTTTCATTGCACCGATAAATTTGTCAACGTAAACGTCGTGAATATTTCAATGAATTGAATGGTTTGCGGTATGTATATGCCTACCTACCTCAAAAACACCATAGAAAATGATTGCTGATTTTTGAAATTCAAACACCGCAAGAACGTACGAAAAAAGCAACAAATGAATGAATTTTTTATGGTAAAAACAAAAGGAAGCTAACAAAACTCATTACATGAAATGTGACAATACTAGTGTAGCTCCAACATAATCAGAAGCCACGCAAACAATTGGAAAAAAAATTACGTTCATTCAGTCATTTAGCCGGAATTTAAAATATTAATCGACGTTTTCATTTCAAAATTAGTTTACTGCAAAATGTTGGGAAGCGGTAGCAGCAGCAGCGGCGACAGCAAACGCAAAAAAAAACCAACAGCGAACGATGTTTCGCTTGATTGATTTGATGCGATATTACGATAAGGTAGCGTAGCGCTGCGACCGTACGCCCTTCTCCAAATTGTATTCATATCATCAAATATTGATGGTGTCGAAATGATGCAGGTAAACGATGAATCGGTAGACAAAAAGTCGTCGAAAATATGCAACGTGTACAAAGAATAATAAGTTTCATCAAGTTTATTGCCTTTTGGCTGTGCTGCTGCCACATTCTTTCTTGCTCTCATCCTCTCTCTCTCTCGCACAAACTTCTTACTCAATATGGTTATTTTTCCTTTGCATAATATCACATTGCCAATCTAACGCACTTGTTCGAACATGAAATTTATGCAAACGCCGTTGCCGATTTTCAAACGTTCTTCTTTCTGGCCATTTCCATCGAGAGAATGCAATGACAGAAATCTTGCCGAACAAACGAAATTAGCTTGAGATAAGAAAATAAGTTTTCTACGCTCCCTTTTGTTTGCGTTTGTATGTGTTTTCCTACTTTCATCCGCAAATGGCACTCGGGCGAATTACCGGCCAAAGTGAGATGCCAGCCATTTTACTGTAATTTCAAAATATATTGAAGCAGTTGGAATGTTGAACAGAAGCGATATTCTGCTGACACTGGTAAAAAAATGCACTGAAACACCTGTCCAGACGTGTTAAATCTCCTGGATGAGTGACTGTATTTTTGTTATCGAAACATTACTTTATTCTTCCTCGTTTCAGTGAATGGACAACTTTGTCACTGGCTTTTATAGAAAACACTTACCATTGAACTGTCTCTGCTCATAGCGAACTAACTCTAGAAATTGAACATCCTTTCGAAATTAAATCGCTGCAAAATCAATATTTTCACTCTAAATCGAATTAAAAACACCTTGGTTGGCTGATTTTGAAGTTTTTGATTTTTATTTGAAATGCATGCATACAGAATGATTATGATCCATTTTCCATTTACATGAATGCAATGATTTGATTTGATTTTTAGTTTGTTCTTCGTTTAGCTTTTTAAATTGTGAGCAAAAAAAATTATTTCATACGATTTGATTTTAGGTTGGATGATTAAATCTATTCAAAAATGATTGATTTTCGGAATGAATCGAAATTTCTTTTTGTTTACTTCGAATTTGATTATTTTCTTTAATAAATTTCGAATAAAATGGTTGTACTTTTCTAGCGCTTTTCTCATCGAAAAAATTCCACAGACATTGATTAAAACGGCAAAAAATGTGATTATTATCAAACAGTGTTGTCCATCAATTCAACGAACTTCGGCAAGATTAAACGAATGCTTTCACATGAAATTTCTCTGTTCCTGCGTGTAATTGTCCGAAAGATAATGGCAACTTTTCAGAACAACAAGCCGATTAAAGTGCTGTTAGGGCCAGCTATTGAACGGGCTTTGCATTGGAGTGATACTATTTCCAATGAATTTAATTGATTTTAATGAACTTATTATTTTGTAATTTACCGCATCAAATTTAGCGGAATTTCAGCGATATAATTCCAACGTGCGAACATACTCAGTATCAAGTGCCTGCCAACATCTGGTACAAATCAATTTGAGTTCCAAGAAACTACACGAATGGCACACAATTTCGCTCGATTCAATTAGAGCGCAATTCATTTGTTTTCGAATGGGAACACGTAAGCCGACTGATAATACTGAGAAATTTCTGGTAAAGCATTCGCTTCGTCCGAATCGATTCACTGTGCGAAAAATAGGAAGTATGACGATGTAAATAGTAGTTGAAAACCTGTCCTAAATCATCTTTGATTGCATTGTTTGTTGCTTTCTTTTATTTTATTTTTTTTTTCATGATAAATACTTGTTTGAATAATTATTTTTGAACAATTTTTGTCTTATTTTTTTTTTAGTAAAATGTTTTACATCTAGTATGATATTTCAAGCAGAATTCTGACGATTTGGTTTTAAAGGAGTTCATAAGCACACAGAAAAATGTTTGGCATATACAAAAATTGCGAACATTTTTTTTTCTTCAAACGTGGAATGCTTTCAAATACTTTAATGAAATAGCGAAGAACACCATAGGAAAAACGATCAAAGTTTTTAAAATGAATTCTCTTTTCGCGTTGGAACAAAATGTGAATTGGATTGAAATATATGTATATGCCTCTATGGCGGCCAAATCTAAACGTATTCGTTAAAAGATGTGAAAGTTTGTGAGTGTGTGAATGATTTTAGTTTGTTTGTTTGTTTGCTAGTCATAAGTAAAGTGTCAGAAAATAGAAGAAGTTTGATTTTTGCTTAAAATTCCATTTGATTTCACCTTGAATCAATGCACGTTCAAGGTATTTTCTTATCCATTGTCTTACTCTTACTCTATATACTTTGCATCGAATGTGTCTCAAAATAGGATAAAGTGTTTAATCGATTTATGCTCCTTTTAGATTTAGATAAAGTGATAACTAACTAAGAAATTTACATAGGAAATATGCGTATCACTAGATTTCATTAGAAAGTTAAGTTAAATAGTTGGTGCTTTGCAACAGTTTTATTTTTCGTTTTTCTTTCAGAAAAATTCAATTGATGAGATTGAGAAAGGAGTAAGTTTATTGAAGGCTTCATGATATAGTTCGTTTCGTCGACGGTCGACATTCCTTTGGTTTTTATGTTTGAAAATAAGTGGTTTAAAATAGTGGTTGCCTAAATAGAACTAGAATGGTAGTACGTACTACCGGTAATTCCAAATCCGAACATTGTTCCACGATATCGTAAACCATCCAAATTGTAAAAATTGAACAAATAGACTAATTTTCTGCAAAACTTTGAAGGTTAACTGTTGTTTTTTATATCGTATTTGAGAAGAACACGAAAAAAAACTTCCGATATGAATATATGACTTATTTGTATTTTTTTTAGAAAAGTAGTTTATTTTGAGACTATAATACAATTAGAACTATATGTTACTATTTGGATGGTTTACGATACATTTTCAAGTTTTGAAAGAAAATCCCTTCAAAAATTGTTGTAAAAATTGTCTTTGCAAGTTTGTTTTTAACTTGATTGAAGAGGTTCAATTGATTGACAGGAATGGACAACAATAAAACCATCAACATAATCCTTTTTCGACCTCACCATACCAAGAAATGGGCGTCAAGTGTATTGATTTCACTGAATCAATGCTATTTACAAATCGAAAAATTCAAACACATTCGTCAGCTGAAGGTCTTGTGAAAAGAATTCGCGTGAAAAATTCCTTCATTGATATGAATCTTTTCTTCTAAAACAAATCATTGCATCTTCAATGACTTGAACTTGAATTCACTTTCAAAGAATGTTCAGTAATCGAACTTCAGTTCAACCGCAGCTGAATTCATTTGTGAAAGAATGCCTAAATCTTTTTTTGTTTTCTCTGTTTATTTACAATTAGAGTAAAAATTTGAACAATAAAATTGATTGTTATGGTATAAGTACTTGATAATTTTGTTAATTTGAATAAATTTTAGTAACATGTTAATATGATTTGTGTAATCTATCATTGAAAATGCTTAAACAAAGTACACGAAATTCAGAAAAGATAAAATATCGAAGCTGCCATCTCTTCTATACATAGTTTCCTATCTCAATTCATGCTCGAAAATCGTGTTTCTCCCTCTCTTTTTCTGTCTATTTCGTTCTCTTATTCACTCTAAATAGAATATTCCAAAAAAGACTAATTTTTTTTTCAAACGAAGAACAATTTCTTCAGAAGAATTTCATTAAAAACTGAAAAAAAGTTGAAATTCCTTCATGCCGTTCTTCAATCTCAAAAATGTCCCGTTTACAAAAATGCACTTCAACATTTTCCCTAAATTATCCCGTCGCTAGACGTGTTAATGTCTACTCGTTTTGAAACCTTTTCGTAAATTCCCCTAGTAATCAGACGCAAGCTAAATTTGAAATTGTGTGCATAAGAAAAAAGTCCTAACGTTTTGTGCAAAATATGAAATTGAAAAAAGTTGGAACGTAAAATTCGTAAATCCATAGAGGCGTAAGTTGAAATTGTGCGAGATTTGTGTTAGTTTCATCGCTAATAATTTTTTTTTTGTTTAAACATACGTTTTTGGATAGCTCAACATTTCAGCATTTCGTATGCAGCGACTACACACAAACACTGCGCTCTCAGTTTTTGTGTAAAACTCTCTATTTGTGTGTAGTCGATGTCGCTATGCACATCAACGCACGCCACTTATACAGTGACTTGCGTCGTCAATATGCTGGGATATATACGCTGCATACGAAATGCTGAGACGTTGAGCCATCCAAAAACGTATGTTTGTTTTGTTTATAATATTATAGTTTATATACATGACTTACCCAACGCGCGGAGCTAACGTTGCAACTTGTGTCGAACAATCAATGATTAAAAGCTAAGTTATTTGTGACAATTTCGAGAGAAAAAAAGGATTGTAATTGGATTTCGATGTTTGATTTATGAATGAGCACAATGGAAAAATAAATAAGGAACATCGAAAGCCATCCACAGTTTATAAAGTAGATTAGATGCTGTTCACGCACTGCGATGTCGATGCGTTTAGTGTATATATTATTCGATTGGATATTCAATTTCGTTTATCTCATGCCACCCATATGGTTTCGATTGCTGTGTGCTTTACTATGGTTGAGATGCCATTCTTATTCTAGCCGTTGCTCTTGATTTATTATGAATTTCAGCCGTACGCAGAGTTATTCCGAATATGTCTTCGTGATATCGATTTTGATCCTGAAGCCGGAAAAAGATGAAGTAATTTTTCGATTATTGTAAAATTAGAACTGTCTCTGGCCGTATAAATAATGGATCAGTTAAAAGCGAGCTCATTGAGCATTGAAAGAAAAACAACAATAACAATAGCCGGGTCACAACCCAAGATCAGGCCTGTCGACAATAACGACAGGGCAATAATAATAACGATAACTTAAATATATTAACAATAAAAATCCTAATAGAAAAGACAACGGCAGGAAACGACCATCATACATACAAATGTATCATAAGTGACTTACCCTTAATGCCAATAAATACTTTTCCACTTCCGATTCCGTTTTGCCCTCTTTCGAAGCGATTATTTTTCTAAATAGATAGACAACATTAAAAAGAGCATCACATGAAAATAAACCGTCATCGTCATAATAAACATTTTATGATGTTTGCACAGAAACCACCAAGGCGTTTCGTGTCTGTGTGTGTTTGTTTGTGTGGTGAAACCGATTAGAAATAATGCAATAAAAGCAATGGAATGGTCGAGAGAGAGAGAGAGAGAGAGAGAGAGCGAGAGAGAGAGAGAGAGTGAGCAGATTATTCACATACCTAATCGTTAAGTATACGTGTTCGGCCATTGTAACATCTCCACACACGTAAATGTGGCCCTCTTCCGTTACGATTAACTTATAAATGTCGTCAGCTTCCTTGGCAGCTAAGTCTTGTACATAAGTCTATTGTGTTCCCATTTGATGTGTGTTTCGCATGACAAAAATGAAACAATAATCATTATGAAAATTTGATTAGTTCGGTTTGAGTGTATAAAATGTGAATTTTCGTCTTTATTTTGACTGGTCATTGATTGCAAAAATTCTCAATTGGCACAAGAACTCTTCAAAAAAAAAAAAAAACTAATGACGTCCAAACATTTTTGACAACATATACCTTGGGGACATTTTGTTCTCTTGATAATGCTAAAAAGACTCTATCTAAAATTCTCTTTTCGACCATATCCTGCTTCTCGTCACTGTACAAGTCCAACGCTTCAGTTCGACACCCGAAGAATAGCCAAACCTTCGGTAACTGTTGAATAAAATACAACAAAAAAGTATTAAATACTAAGCCTATAAGAACTTTTTAACAAAAACAACAACAATAACAACAGCAACAAAAAACGATCTGTTTCGAATGTTGTCAAGTTGTTTGGTAAAATGTGTGTGTGTGTGTGTGTGACTGAATGTCAAGAATTACTTGTGTATTTGAATCTCGTTCCTTTAAATAGTCCCAATGTTGCCAGAATGCTCGGTATGGAGCGATGCCTGTGCCGGGACCGATCAGAATGATGGGCTTTGATGTGTCTTTTGGTAAATGGAAACTCGATGCACTGTTTGAATCAAATGTTTGGAAATCATTGAATTTCGGAGACATTTCAGGAGAAATAGAAAAAAAGCGAAAGTTGAGTAAGGGGAAGTTTTCTTCACATCACCGAAGAAATATAGAGAAAAAAAGATTGGAATTGCCTTACTTTCGCACAAACAAGTATAAATTCTCATTCTCTTGAAGTCCTTCTAAGTAGTTACTACACACACCATAATGCTCAGCACCCTCACCGTCTTCGGCACGATACTTTACGACAGCCACCGTCAAGTGGATCTGGTCTCGACATTTATTGGGACAAGATGATATGGAGTAGAATCGCGGTTGCATCGGCACCAAATTGGCAATGAACAATGATGCGGGCGGTTTGCACGATGGAAACTCTTCAAGCACTTCAAGCAAGTGGGGTAGTCGCCAATGGCGCCAATCTTCATATGCCGACGATTCCTGGAAAAATTGCATAACAAAAAGAAGATAGAGAGGTTGGTGATTTAAACTTGGTGATTTAAAGCGATGATTGGAAATTTGATGAAACGTAAACATTGTTTATTTAGACAAAAAAGCAGAGGTAAGAGCTATGGAAAAATACTGGAGATACTGAAAAATTTGGGAAAAATATATTCATAAAAAAAACATTTCACTATTTTCTTGCACAGCTCCCAATATTTTGCCGTCTAAATACATTTTTCCTCATTGAAGAAAAATAATAATGAAAACGAAAACAACGGACGTATACAAAAACAGAATTGAACGAAAATCAAACAAAATAAAAAAGAACCAAAAACGAATGCAAACGGTATGTTTACACAATGGAAATGGTATAAATTACATTCGCTAGTATGTTAAGCCGTTCTTCATCGGCTTTGTCTTCACAGAATGTCGCTAAGAGTGTTAACAGTTGTCGTGTTGGTGGTGTTGTGATATCCAAGAATCGTGTTAATAGCGTCCGCAATGAACAGGCTGGTAGTTTTTCGTGTGGTTCCCAGCTCTTTGTAACTCCTATAAGCAGAAACAAATCCATGTTATGTTTCATTGACATGCATTCCATGTCATGAAGATGAGATTTATACGAAAAATATTTAAAACATCGTAAAAATTTCGACAACAACTTCCTTACCGTTGGTCGTGTGATTCTCTTTGAGCAATTGCAGCTGTAGAATTTCATCGAAATTATCAATGCCGTTCAATCGATTCAAAATGCCATCAACGATATTGGTACAATTGGCCGGGAATATGCCGACATGATCGCCGGGCTCGTAATGAACGTTGTTTGCCTCGATTTCGACTAAGATTGTTGACCGAGCAGCGGTGGCCGACCGATGTAAATTACGCGGTTTGACTTTGGTTCGACCGACCACGACATTTTTATTATGATATTTGCCCAATTGAACGTCAAGTGGAATGGTCTCATTCACAGGCACTAAACGAACTGTATCAATGGTCAGTGATTCGCTGTGGAGTGTAACACTTGAGAATGATTCGTCCGTGTCCAAGCAGAATGTCTCACAAGCCACCTATCAAAAGCATAAACACCATTGATTCGATTTATTTTTTATATATATATATATCGTCTCGAACAAATAAATCCCATTGAATGTGTGTATTTTGAGAGGGACAGAGCTCCCTCTCCGAATCAAATTCGATGCGAATCAATTTACCTTGAAGACTTCCGGTGCCCATTTTCGGAAGGCATGCTCTTGACCGCACATTTCATCACCATAGGCGATTTTGGTGAGTCGTTCACCACCCAATTCGCCCAAAATATTATCCACATACTTGCCGTACGCACAAAAGTTTGGATAGGCCGATGAACCGAGTGCAAACACAGCAAAACGTACATTTGACAATGGGCCGAATGTTTCTTCCGTGTACGTTTCAGTGGTTGAACCGCGCAACGAGTCCAATCGATCCATTTTACGCACCTGTTGGAAGTTCACTTTGCCAAAGTCAGACCGGGAATTGGCTCTCATGAATGACTTTGATGACACCGTTATGCTGCAACGAACACACAGAAAAATTAAATGATTTTTCTTCTTTCGGAGAAGTTCTTCCCTTACAACAGCGACATTATTATGCTGGTGTATGCGAATAATGAAAAATCACATGACAAAACAAAAGTGATTTCTGTTTTGATTGGCTTGCTTGCTTTGGAATAGAATATGATTATGTTTGTCTCACAATAAAAAATGTGTCATAAACGAAAACAAATGTGCAAACATTCCATTTACATCGTGAACACGATACGTTTGTTGTGCCACACAACTTCCTAGTATAAAAAGAAAGGAACGCGATAAGAATGAAATGGAAAATGAAATTTACATCACACAATTTGTAATATGCGGCCGGGAGTTGTTCCAACTGAAGCACAAAAAAAAAACCAGCAAGAGGGAGACTGGCTGACCCAAAGACTCTTAGCATAGCTAGTAAAGTCTTGAGTGAATATTTATGCAATTTCACAGTAGACAAAATGCGTCTGTCAACGCCATGAAAATGAATGGAAAAAAGAGAGGGGAAAAAACGAGAAAAATTACCTCTTATGATAGTCGATGCTGTCGCCGCTCTCTTGAAGCTTCATCGCGTATAATCCTTGTGCGAATTCCTTGAGATTGTAAATAGCACAGCACATGCATTCGTATAAATGCAACAGATAAACATATCCCGTCGAAATTGTAACGATGAGAGATTTATTCAGTGTGTGTGGACGTTGAAGAGATTGCCATGTAAATAGAGGGATAAAAAAACAGACAAACATGTTGAAATGAATTCCAGCAGTTTTTTTTTCTTGTTCTTGTGCGTCTGTAAAAAGTTTTATTTTCAAGTGTAGAGTGGATGTTGTTGTTTGTTTCTCTGTTTATTTCAAGTGGAGGGAATTTTGTTTGGCATGTGTTTTTTTCTCGTGCCACTCTCCGTTACACGTAAGGTTCTTCCATTTAAATTCATGCGCAAATAAATTTAAACAAATTGTATGTTCTATATTTGTCGAGAGTATGATGTGAACAAATGAAATAGGTCAATTTTTGTCTCTCTCTTTCTCTCTGAATGTCTAAACTTTCGGCCAGAAAAACATTCACACGCGTGTCCATCCGATTGTGTGAGCGACAAGCTTCCGCATTGTTGCGTTGAGATAAATTGCAAATAAAGATTAAAACCGACACAGAAAAAATGAAGGAATTTCGATTAAAAAAGAGATGGAAAAAAATCCTCAGCATTCTTCGAGGGAGTTTTTATTAGAAGAGTCCTCTTCATCGAAAGAAGAGAGCGAAAAGAACTAGAAAGAATGGAAAAATTGCTTTGATTGTCAAATAAATATGATGATCTTGATTGAATCGTATCGCATCCCATACGAAAATTGGAATGTTTTTGTTAGTTCATTTTTCTAATGGAATTTGACTTTTCTCGTTATTTACTCGTCTATTCATCTAGGGAAAAATAGAAAATCAAATCCTTTTATGACAAGAAGTAGAAGAAGAAAAAAAAACGTAGCGGAAGTGGTTTGCGGTAGTCAAAAGAGAAAATTCATTTGTGATATGACATACACAAACACAGAGAGAGGGGTAGAGAAAACACAAAAGCAGCCCCAAAACGATTCTATAAAAATCACGTTTAATATTCTGGCAGTCACAAAAAAATGCGGTGAAAAGTGTAACATGACACTAAAAACGGTATCATCGTTCGGATTTGTATGCAGGTATTCGCCTACAAACCGCAACCTCCAATGTCAATCACGTATCAATAGGTAGGCGGTCATTGGTATTAAAATAGGTAGAATGTGAACGATGAAAATATAAATTGAAATTTGCGGATAGAGCATCTCAATAAAGTAAGCCAACACCTTCTTGGCTGAATCACCCATGATATCATCAATGATGAAATCCTACGAAATCCGACGTGCAGTGCTTGAACCGTGTTTGCGTCATATCCGAACAACAAAAGACTTGAACGAAAACGAATTTTTAGCCAAACAATATCATTCGGTTCGCATCTTTGACTTAAATTGATTTACATTTTTCCTTAACTCATTTCGTTCTTCCATTTCATTTTACGTTTCGTTTTTTTTAATCTATTTCGCGGGAACGCAAAAAAGGGTTTTTCTGGTGTTTTAGCATACCTCTCCATTTTCAGGGGGGTCCCCATTCCCAAAGGTAGAAGCGATGACTAGTAAAAGCGCCTCATGCTCAATGGAAGAGATGTCGTAATCAGACATGCAGTAGATCTGAAAAAAAAAACCGTAAGCGACGTAATCAAAAAATTGAATGAATGATATGAATATGTTCTCGAAATGAGGATTTATTTAGAGCAGCAGATAAAATGCCAGAATTACGAATGGCACGAACAAAAAAAAACAATCATGAATTAAAAACGGAATCGTTCTGTAAACAATACCCGGTGCAATAGAGCGTATGATTTCCAAGAGGCATTTTGCACCCAACAAAAATTTAATAATCCAGCTAAAGTTAATAAATGATAAATGGGCATTTGTTTTATCCAATTCAATGAAAATTATGTAGCTCTTGCATCATCTGGCATCAGTTTTTGGCAAAAAAAGTATGCTTAATCTATTCGATCCCAAATCGCGTATTATACGCATCGTTGATTTATATGATAGAGGATTTATTCAAATTACACCATTAAACCAAATGTACACCACAGGCCATAAGTTTGGATACCCCTATAAATGAATTTGGCCCAAAATTTTTAAATTTCAAACCGCTTGTCCAATTTCAACATGCTATACGTCGTTGGAAAGGTCTCGGAGAGTACGTATCATTTTTGGTATTAAACATTAGAATCGGCCAGCTTTTGGCCAAGATATGGCTGATTGAAGATTTCGGCCAAAAATTACAAACGGTCATATCTTGGCCAAACGCCGGCCGTTTGATGTTTAATACCAAAAATCACATCTACTTTTCAAGACCTTTCCAATGGCGTATATAACTTTTTAATCCGATGGCCCGTTTAAGACTTCGATTTTGGCTCCCACAGCTCAAAGGCCAAAAGATGGCCATAGGCCGGCCAAATGTTATCTTCCAAATCATCCATTCGGTCAGAATTTCGATATATTTTCATATCCAATACTAAATTTCAAGTGAAAATGTTCAAAAAACTTAGAAATAAACGTTTCATAGGGGTATCCAAACTTATGGCCTGTGGTGTATTTTGAATGAATCGATAAATTTATTCGACGCCATTTCTATTCTTTTTTTTTTCCATCGATCAAGTTTTCTGCGTGGGATTCCAGTGCAGCATGCATTTGCAGATGGATTTGGGTTTTTGGTGCATTTTGAGAGTGTCACATCTGAACTAATTGCATCAAATCTGTCATTCTGTTTGATTACGGTACGTGTTATTTACAGACGTTGCTTTCTACGTAATTCACACACTTTGAAATGGATTTGGTAATTGTGGTAGAGATTTGATTCAATGGGAATTTTGGGTCGGATTTTGTTTTTTGATTCATTTTCATCTTAGCAACAGCCACACGTGTGTTTCTCTTTAAATACAGCCGTATTTTGAATCCCCGTTCGGTATTTTCGCATTCAACGCTCGACTCTCAGTTCATTAAGCCGTGTGCTGTCGGAGCTGTTTACAAGGCACAGTGGGAAGAGGGAGAAACTCACAGCCATGTAAATGAAATATTTGTCGGTACAATTGCGAAAAACGAATGTGAAAAGTGTGTGTCGTCTATTTTAAGTTTGGCATTAGGCTTGGCGACTGGATTCACAAGGCGAATGAACACAAGGGATAAGAAATGAATGCATACACGAATAATTTCGAGTGAATTAAGTCATCGCTGGAATTGGACATGGCGCATACCGTGCACAATGTGTTGCTTAGAAGTTTTGCGAGTGTGTATATGTGCTAAGACTTGTCGTCAATCAATTTTCAGTGTGCTAAATACACGGGTTTGCTTCTGACAAACACTCGTCGTATGCTAATTTTCAAGAAAATGTAACGAATGTCTGTTTCATTCCCGATGATACCATATCTTCAGCATCACTCGTGAGACTCTTTCAACAATTCGCTAGAAAGAAATCCTTGTTAAATTCTCTTTTTTTGTGTCTAAACTTTCTTTTTTCTTCGGCTTGCCCTTAAAACAAACCGCAATCGGTTAAGCAAATTTTCACATTTATTTCGGTTATGCCAACTCGACGTGGGGATAGAAATGATGACGTGATGAATTTCAGCCATATTTGCATTGTCGACTCAATTCTCTTCTTTTTGACTCGACTATATTTGCAGTGCGGTTGACGTTGCCCCAAAACTTCCGTATGAATGCGACGGTTGAAAAAGTAAGTTGTCGAGCACAAGAAAATTGACGCTGTCATACACCAACGTTCTATCTTCATTTCCCAAAAAGAAGAACTTGTTCACCTTCTTTTATGGTCTAAAACAACTAGGACACCGCATATTTTATACCAAATTTTTTTTAGTTTGCTATCAATGTACAGCAATAGATCGTTGTTTACTTTAATTTTGTAATATGTTTCTATTGTTGTCGTTTTTCATTATTTGGCGAATAATAATATTCGCAAATGGAAAAGTTGACTGGTTGAAGGTGAAAGCACTGTTATTTTCATGTGAAGGAAATTGGAAGAAGCTCAGAATCAATTTTGGAAATGAATAAACATCATTTTTGAAATGACATTTCGTTCTCTTCTTATGCCATTTCACTACGGAAATTAACACGGTTCCTACACTTTTTCTTCCAATTCTCTATTACTATACACAGCAGGTTGTGTAATGTGATTGGCAACTATAAAGCGAACTGAGAATTACAAGCGTTTCTTGCTCCATGATGACAATCAAATGACATCTATTGTTCTTTCGATTCAACGGAACGTTGATTGTATTTGCAGTGCACACTGTACGTACACACCAAAAAAGAACTGTGTGTGTAATTTTCCAATTAGGTGAAATTGGAGCGATTCTCATCGAATGCATTAAAATCGAAATCAATATTATGTAAAATCCTCAAGCGTTATGACTCTTCAGAAAGCAGATGGTTTCGACACTTTCGATTGCTCTCGAAAATTGATTAGTTTTCACTGGTTGATCTGACACTAATTTCATGTTCACGAGTTGTAATGCAAGCTCAATTAATGCAAACTTGGTTGTGTATATATATATATTCTCGCAAAATGAACTGAGATGCAGTTTGTCAATGTCAATTCTCGAAACTTCCATATCTCCAACAATATTTCAATTACTGGAAGAGCGAGTATTAATGGTTGGATGCTGCATAATAGTTGTGTTTGGCTGCATCAATGAAGTCATGTTATGGTTGAATCGACATGTTTCCAAAAAGTGCCTGTACAAAGCCAAACGATAAATAAAGTTCTCGGTGGCGGCGGCGGCGGCAGTGGTAGCGGTGGTGATGAACGCGAACTTGCACTCCCACACAAACACCACGTCGGACATCTGCAAGTGAAAGCAATTAGCTAATGTGTTGAATACGTGTGAAAACAGATGCACAAATTATCCGCCAGCATTTCATTCAAATGCAGACACAAAATGCAACGCGCGCATTTCCACGTATGCCGTATTAAAATCTCTTATTCTTCGTTCGTTTCTCTCTCGGTCTCCATCACTACTATGTATGACGCCAAAATGAATGTGTCAATTTTCACGTGCTGAATCCAAAAAAAGAAACATTTTCAATTCATTCGTAATTCCCATTCAATTGCCAAACTAGTTTCAATTGAAATGCAATCAAAATAGCTATTTAGGAGACGCTTGCAATTGAAATGAAAATTTTCTGCCATTGATGATGCTAACAATGGCCCCGGTCCTATCCATTCGAAATCTGCTTACACACACTCACAAATACATCTCGCACAAACGAACGAGTGCCGTGGCAATTTGATTAAACGCATTTATTTTGATGCACACATCCGTACACAATAGATCAGGTGACCCGAACCCTCCAATAGCCGGAATCAGCATTTTAACACATTCTATATTTATACGTACCTGTGCGTTGAATGCATGGCCCAAAAGTTCAACCAGTTGTTTTGCATACTGCTCCGATTTGCCCGTCTCTGTAGCATACAACACTGTGGCTTTGATACGACGCGATAATGCACGACCAAACAATTTAGATGTAAATTTCACCGCTCTGGTTAATTAACGAAATGGGTAGAGGAAAAAAATTCAGGAGAGAAAAAAGAGACAAAAAGAGAAAAAGAAATTTTGTCTGGTTTTACTCTGTTTGCATCTACAAAAAATGGACTCAAAGCTCGACAAACAACGGGGAAAATATATCCATAGTTAAATGAACTTCGTTTCACATTTTAATTTAATGGGTGGATGAGGGAGGAGGAATGTTTCATTTGTTGAAAATTCTAATCGGTTCGAATACAAAGAGTCTGAATATGGTAACAATACCGAATGTAATCGCAATAATACAGATAATTCCAGCTATGTGTTGGAGCGAACGTTGTGAATGACTTGACGTGAAATCAAGTAAAATGTACGTATAGTACATGTATCCAAATGCATTCAGTCTAAATTTTGCAAATGATGTGAATATCAACGAAGAAGAAAATCATCAAGAAAATCGACACATGACCATCATACTAAGTTATATTAGAGTTTTCGCTCAACTGAACTCGAATGCATTCGCAAGAAAATGCGAAGCTAAGAACATTCATGGTGAAATTTTCTATCGTTGGTACACAGCATCAAACGTGCATAAATATATGCAATCTGTCTGAAGCAAGATTCTTTAACGAAATTCGTCGTTTTTTCTCCTTCTCTCGCTCTTTTCTGTGAAACGTATAGTAAATCTGATATGATAATGCTGGATTGTAACCACAAATTACCTGGCAATTTGCTTGAAATGGAACTTGCGACGTGGTTTGCGTGACTTTGATTTATCTCGATCTTTTTTCCATACGTGGCACCTATAGGCGGGTTCTTGGTAATCAAACGATGGTTTTAAGTAATACAACGCCATTTCCTGATGGAATACCGGAAGTACCGACGATGACATCGGCGGAACAATCCATACCCAGTCCGCTGGACAACCGTTTCTAAAAGCCGGCACACACACACAGACAAAAACGATAAAAGCAAATAGAAAAGCAGGCAAACATGAAATCCATGTTGAATCCATCCACCACTCGTTCGTTACGCTTGTTATGCAAGTACAAACTGTGTATGGATTTTTGGTCAATTTTCAATTACCTCAGTTTTGTTTCATTTTCCAAGTGCTTCATGAAGCTTTCGCTGGCTGTATGATGATCGACAATGGTGACATTGTGGCTTTGATACGAGTGCAAAACAGCGATATTCACTTCAACAAGTGTTTTGTCCTTCCACAGTGATGTTGGAGTGCGTGTGTCGAGATCCAGTTTCTGAGCAATTTTCTATACGAAATAAAAAAACGCATGCGGTTCAATTCAGTGGTGCAATTAAAATCAATGGACTGTGAAAATGTAGCGAAACAACGGAAATATAAACAAATGGCTCATTGGTGAAAGCAAACACTGTAATTGCCATCCATTTTGAATACAATGTTTCAATCAATACGTTTAGTAAACACGCGAGAGAAAAATACTGTGCCACTATGGTTTTTGTTTGGTCAGTTGTTCGCTAGGACTCGCTTTTTGTTTTCCTGTTCCGCTGAGAAAGCAATGGAATAACGAGCAATTCATTTTAAATGACTGCAAACGATTGACTATTACTTTAAAAGCTCATATGACAAGCGTTTGCAATAGCTATTGCATTTTTTTTCCAATCGCTTCTCTCTCTGCTTCTCTATCGCTCTTTCTCTTGATACACCGACAAGTTGACAGATTTTATTACACTGTTCATCAGTCACGACATCGAAAAATGTCGATTAAGCTGAGAGGATATCCTGCACGTATTTCATTTACTTTTTGGCATTTTATGATTGAAACATTTTTTGTTCTGGATTTCACTCTCTTTTTTGTATTTGCGAGAGAGGAAGAGAGAGAGAGAGAGAGAGAGAGAGAGAGAGAGAGAGAGAGCGAAATGGATGCAATTGCAATATATGCTTTATTTTACCCTAAATAATGCGCAGTGTGTGTGTTCAACTCACTTCGATTAAATTTCTCCGATTCACGTCACATAGATTTCTGCAACCGATTTCTGTCGACATATACCATCCACTGAACGATGTGGCTGTGAACTGAATGCCACCGCAATCAAACATCATGCTAGATACGGCTGGCACCGCATACCATCTCAAATTCAATTCCGAAAACCATGTATATCTGTTAATCGAACGGAGAGAGTGGTGCGGCAGGTTTAGAAATGAACAATAACACATACACACCACAAGATAAAAGATGAGAAATAATTCGAGAGAACCGAATTGCTGGTGCTGCTGAGCAATTTGAACAAGAATATCGATTCGATTCGGTGGTGAGAAATGATTCTCAATCAATTGGAACATTGGCAGCACTAGCAGCAGTAGCAGCAGCAGCAGTTCGGTTGACCGCAAAAAGTTGAATGACATAAATGATTAGCTGATGCGGTGGCGACACTTACGTGGGATGACTTAGTGGAATTTCAAGCACTAAATCCGGTGGGTAATCAAAATAATCTGGATCATGCCCATTCGCTGACACAACCAATGGTAATATATCCCATTCGGTGCCCTTACCTTTCCAACCGAGTTTCGTACACACCTAAGACGAGACCAAATAATTGAAAAATTGATTTCATTTTTTCCCTCTCGATTTTTGTTGATGTTCTGATTCATTGGACTGTAAACGACGATGCTCATACCTCGGTAAATTCCACATTCACTGGATCACCGACGACACGGCCGTCGGGCGACCGATAGCCAGCATATGAAATTAATTGCGAATTCCAAATGCGATAATCATGACGACCGTCCGTTCGCTGTGGGAATATCGTTATGGCCGATCTGTTTGGTGTCCATGTTCACAACCAATTACAAACAAAAAAGGCAAAATCAATTACAATCCATTCGAATTTACAACTATAAATGTGTCAATTTGAAGCAATAAAAGCGTTAACTCCTTTTTTCTATATATGTCCAATTTTCATTCGTTTCTTTTTATTCAAAAAAGTTAATGTTCCCATATTTTCACTCGATTACTGTTGAAAGCATTTTGCATATTGGATTTATGATATGTGCCATTCTGAATGGGATGTTGACACTTACCTCAAATTTCCCTTATTCGTCGCATATTTGATATGATTGCAAATGGCTTCAAACATTCCGCTCGTTGTGGTTACCAATCGACAATCGAATACCTGCGACAGAAACAAATGAAAACAAAGAGAACAACCACATCCAATCATTTACACATTACAATTCGATGACGAACAGATGACATAAATGCATCATCATAAACCATTGCTGGTTGATTAATCGATTGCACGCTGATTTGCCATGTGTAAATCAAATCACTTTACCATGCAGTCGCAATAAATACGACGTTTTTTCGGCCTGGATTTTAATTACATTTTATGCAACAAGTTGAACGTTGAATTGATGTTTAATAGTTCTGCGTCTGTGTGCTCGGGAAAATGGAGCACATCTCATAACACATCATGCAAGCGGTGGAAACGAAGCAGAGAGGACGTGTATGCAGAACAACAACCAGCATGTAAACAACACAAATAAATCTCGATGAAGAATATATTCAATTTTGTTGTCATTTGTTTTGTTTCCGCTTTTCTGCTGTGAATGTGAATGGGGCTATTGCCGTTGCATATGATACAGCATACGGCTTCCTCCGTGTGACGTTTTGACAGCATATTCCCATTTTTTTTTAAATGCCGCATCACAAGTGGTTCGCCGTTTATTATTAATGGAAACAATATTTTTCCCCAGAGTGAAAACAACCGAACGAAATTGAATTTTGCCATATACCGTTTCATAACAATCATTAAATGTTGTAAATGCGGCTTCTTCGTAGCATATCGTTCAAGTCATGAGATTTTAACGTGATTTTTTCCCTCTCTCGTTTCTGTTGCACTTCTTTTCTCTGTTTTTTCTTTACTTTTGTCAATTTTTTTTTTCTTCATTTTTTTTGCTATTTTTTCTTCTTTTTCTCCTTGTTTTTATTCACGTAATAGATCTTATCCGATCGTGTAGATAAAAATTCCATAAGTTCGTGATACGTTACCTGTAGTTTGGACCATTGAATTCGACCGATGCAACGGGCCGAATTTCTCCAGGCCAATTTTGCACCATAAATCAATTCCGTTTCAGTCAGATGATATGTTCCTGTTGCTTCAATATCCTTTTGTACTTGTTTAAATCGGGTTTCGTGTGCCGGTGATTTGTGTCTGTAATATGCGTGCGAATAGAACAAAAGACATAAATATACAGTATGCAGACACAGGCAAAAGCTTAGCTTCGAAATGAATGTTCACAGCTAATATTGCAACGACGTTTGAACATTACTTATGGACAAATGACACGCAACTATCGTGTCATCTTATTACAAATATTCATCTTTTGTTTGCTTCAAATTGTACGCTGCGTGATGTAACATGATAATCCCTTTAGAAATTCTAAGATTTAATGCTAGAATCCTCTTCATCGTCTTTTTCCACACGCAAAATTCTTCAAATTTTCCATCAAACACCTGTTATTTTGAATGGATTTTCAATTTGTTAAACTGTCACTTCGTTAAGGAATCCAATGCATACAATGCGCGTGAATGTTGAATTGTTTTCGGAACAATGCTCTCACTTTCAAATGAAACTAATTCAAATGTGTCGGCAAACAATAGCGATAAACCGTAAAAGCGCATGCTATCATAAATTTTGTGGATGATATTTTATTAAATTTGCACAAAAATAGCACAATAATACAAAAGCCTACCCAGCCTCATTTCATCATAATAAACAATAAACTAATTGGTGTGTGTCGGTGTGCTTCCGCAAGCAAAATGTATAACTAATATTTACCCTGAGTGGTGAACCATTTCAGCAAGTTGGTTGGCAAAAATGTGCGGGTTAAATTCTTTGAATTTGATTATTAAACCGAATTACTTTATCATAAATAGTGTAAGAATTTTTTATTGTGGTACTGGATCAGTACGCTGCCAGAAGGCTATACGAACCAACAGCTTGAAATCAATATTACTCTTCAAAGCAAATAAAATTTTCATTTAACAAATATTTTAATTACACATTTTTTTCCATTTACTGCTTGTGGGATTCAAATGTAAAAAAAAAATACTTGTGGGAGCTTTTACTGAATCGAAACGTACCCTCACCATGTAGGATTTTTTAAAGTGAAGTTCATTAATTAAATTTCATGTGAAGCTTTATTGAACAATAAAAATGCATTTAACTGAATTATTCGAGCATATTTCATCGTCGAATCGGCGAAGCGGGAGTGAAAAAAGATTCGAACACATGTTTTAGCTACCTCAGAATTGAAATGAATTAAATAATAACTCGTAGAAATGTGTGAAGATTCCGAAGAAAAAACATGTGCGAAACTCTTCGAACACGAACATGCTTGCTTCAAAGAGCACCCACATTTTAATCCTTTCCACACAGCACAATATTACGTTACTCCATATATTGAATGTATAAAACGCCTGTCGGTATGCTATTATATGGTGCATACTTGATATTCGTTTCATTGTTCCCACCGATAGAGCGAGGACGGGAGAGAGAGAGAGTGAGCGAATGAGAGCAAAAGATGATAGAGCGTGCTGTGATGAAGTAATATTTTACACTTTTCCAACTGTAATAGTTCATTTTTGCCTGTAAAATTCTCTCCTCCGCCAAGGGAGATGAGTGTATAATCTTCGCCTTGGATTGGCGTTATGAATCCACTCGACACAGAATTAAGAGCGTATAAGCGGTGAATATATGTGGTTTTTTAAGAGCATTTAAACATTTATAGCATATTCACCTATCAGCACCAGTGAAGCAAGGCATTGTTTCATCATTTTCTCTCTATTCTCCAGCACGGTGAAATCCGTGTGCGATACCGATAAAATTCTCGAAAAAATACAAAATCTCAAGCTGTATTTCACAACATCGTCGTCGTCATGTGCTTGTTTTTGTTAGTCGTTCGTCGGTCGACTGTGTATCGCTTCACTTCATCATTTTGTGCTTGCGTGTGCATGTATATTTAATAAAAATCCGCACAATTTTGGTTTTGATGCTCCATTTTCAGCACGGTTTCGGTTGCATTTGCACTAAATTACACACCACTTGACCACGGAAATGCATGAAATTATGCATAAAAATATGGCTGTCATATTTTCCTGTAAATTTATTTTCCGTGCGAATACGATGAGGTCATTTGTCATGAGAGAGCGAGGAAGGGAGCGAGAACCAACTGTTGCTTGTTTGATTTATGTACATCGTTTTCGCAACAACACCTTTTTATCATTAAATTAAATGTTACATGTGTCGGCCAATTACGACCGAGTTGAAAGAATGGAGGCATTTAGGCTGTGTGTGAGCGAATGGGGAGGCATTTATCACTGTGTGTGTTTGTTATTGCAGAAAAACCGGAAAGCTGGCACTTTTTTCCCTATCTTTATGTGGTGATGTCCCCTTGCAAGCGATAACACTTGACAAGGCCATGCCTATTGTGCTAGGTGCAGCTTAATGCCATGTAATCCGAGGCTGAACGCCTGTCAAAAGTCGGCTTTGCATGTGTCAAACTATGACATCACTTACACAAATCACACTTTGTTGTTGAGACTTTTCTAAGTCGATGTGTCTTCATCGAAATCTTTGAATCACACTCACACACACAACCAACACGTTCAAAAATCAAATCAGCTAATGTTTTCCACTATTCTCTACCTCTCTCGAAAAAGGTTAAACTAGTACACATGGAAAATCTGTTACTGTTATTCAACTCCCATTCAAATATCGAATATTCGCATAGCAATTCCTGGAATCGAGATGATAGCTGTATTTTGGTTCAGTTGGCAAATTCAATGTAAATATTTGCAAACGAATTCATCGGAAAACATAGTTGAAATATCGATTGATGACCTTTTTCGGATCGCATTCAAATGCAGCAAAAAAAATTATTCCTGCTTCATCCGTGTAGCGAATAGATGCGGATTGATTTGTAATCAGTTTGCGATTTGTTAGCTCAACCGCTTGTGACTCGCATTCATTTCGAGTTCACCTGAGCGTATTTAATATATAGTTTGCACGTTTCCTCTTTTGAATAACGTATTAACAAATTCCGCCGACTCTGAATACAGTCTTCGCCACAGAATATTTTTTTCCCTTTCTTCTCTCGTCTTCTTTTGCGATGCTTGGATAATTTGATATGGAAACTTTTTCTTTCCAACTCTTTTTTGTTCGTTCGGGTTTTCGTCGTGAACTTATTTTTCATGCAGTTCATTGTATTTCTTGGACAATGTTTCGATTCAGGTGGAATTCATACGAATGAAGGTGAGTTTCAAATTTTTTTTTTATCGTGACGTTACCGAATGACTTTGAAGTGGAAATGTCGGCTTCAGCATATTTTTTTTTCACGCGAAGGGGAACGAGAATATTTTCTATGATTTTTCTCTCATAGAAGAAGTCCAAATGGAAAACTTGTGGGCTTTTTCGATTAAGTAGAACATTTTTTCCGTTATTTCCGCTCTCTTGGACGCTGAAATTTCTCAAGAAGAAAATGAGCGTGCCATTTAACTTCTGAGGAATATGCCGTCGATTTGACCCAATTCAATAGTTCAATCTTCAAGACGATCGGATGTAGGAGTACCATTTCGATCGTGGAAACCCCCTACAAAGGTAACTCAATTGGATTTTAGATCGAAAGAATTTCATTTTCTTTCTCTTGTGATACTCATAAAAATACTTCAGTCTCGGCATGAATTGCATTAATTGATTTTGCAATCATTACCCAAACCCTGCACCCAGATGAGCATTGTGGAATAAGGAAAATGAGAATAATGGCCAACCACGTTCAAAATGCAAAAAAAAACCATTTTTCATCAACTTTTTTTAATTCAAGACTAACAAACTATAATTCTGCTCTAATTCACATTTCTTTTACTACTTCGGCCCCGTTTTCCTTTCAGTTTCATCTCTTTTTAATTATCTTCTTCTTTTTATAGCATTTGAAACGGAAGAAGAAAGCGGTTAAAATGAGACTGTGTGGTCAACTGCCATATATTCCAGGTTGACAACAAGGAAGCATGGTCTAGCTACAGCCAAATGAATTACGTTGTGACAACGTCAATGGCATCATAATTTTTTTCTCTTCGCTTTTCATCGTCATTCATTAATAATATGTAATCTTGGTTGCTTAGCACACCGTCACAATGGCGAGCTTGTGGCCCATAGAATGTGTTTTTGGTATTTTGAGCACATGGTTCAACTTATATATCGTATAAGTGCTGGTTTAAAGAGGGCATTTCGCATTCGAGACATCGCATCTTCTTCATGCGGTTGATGTAATGTCGCCCGACACGCTTCTTTTATGACACCATCCCATTTTGATTATATGAATCTCTTTCTCTCATCAATTGAAACTCACTCATTTCATCGTAGCGCTGACGTAAATAAACCAAGAGTGTATTGAAACCGGAAGCGAATGAGTCGAAGAAGAAAAAACCACATTCAAACGCTTATCGCTTGCTTGACAATTTATTGATCCTAAAAACATTTTATTGATCTTATTTATGACGTTTGCATTAAGAATTACGATTGAATGCTTCAAAATTGTGGCAAAAAGGTTTGTTGTTGATTTATGCGGAGAGATTATGGAATGTAAATAGAATGCCTGGTTCATATTTTATTGATGAGTTAATCGAAGCAATTGCCAGAATCTTCATTCAATTTTTTGAAAGTGTGAAAAATAAATAGACAAAATGCCCTAAAACACCACCGTTCTAATCGAATCTTTGCTCTGGAAGAAGTGAAACAATCAATATTTACTTCCACTTGCTCCGCTCCGATAAAGAATCTCATGGAAAATACCGCTCAAATTGAATTCGAATAGACTCACTGGTGCATGCAGTGGCAAAAAACGCGGTGGAAAATATTGCAATGTTTTTTTTCTGTCTTTGTATTCGATTCAAGGGAATCGAATAGAATGGGTAACAAAAACTCGACCGCGCAATCAAATGAACGGTTTGAGAGCAGAAGAAAAAAAAGTTGGAAACCAATGCGAATGGAATTACAAAATGCATATACAAAAAATTTCCATTGAGCATTCTTGAAGTGTATCGATTGAAGTATTTTATTCATTGGATTTCACGATTTTTTTTATATTGCATCAAACGAGTAATTCTGAATCAATTTAAATAATTGAAACTGTGCCAATCTTTACATGATCATTTACCGTGGAAAGCTACACACAAAACGATACGAGCTCTTTTTTGTTGCTGCTGGCGTCGAAATGAAAGGAATTCCAATGAATGTGGCCATTTGATACGAAACAAAACAATAAATATTTGTGCTGCGGCGATATGTATGTAAAACCGAAGCAATCGCGAAACTCCATATAAAAATCATTAAATTAAATCACTTTTATGGTTTTTTTTCTCTCGTTGTGTGCGCTTTTTGTTCATTTCGTTGCACCGCACTGTTTTATGTGCATCCGTTAGAGGAAGAGTGTTGCAAACTACTGTGTACGTACGTGTTGCACACGTGCTTTGGGCAGTCCGCAGTCGGATGGAAAAGTGCACGCTCCACGAACATCACTTATATCTGTTGCGTCCACATTTTTTTATTCCCTCTCTCGCTCTCCCAACCCAACCCCAAGGTGCAATAAAACTTTTTCCTTATTTATTAATGAAATCGCATAAAAAATGTAGCTACGAATAAGAATCGCTATCTGGAAATGTCGGTTGCAGAATGTTGGAACATATATATTTCATTTTTCTTCGTTCCATGCATGCAACAATGAATGAGCTTTATCACATGGCCAATGCTGATTCGAACACCGAGAGAATTGCATTGCTTTTCTTCTTCTCAGCCATTCACCGCTCGTGGTTTTCACGCCAACGCAAATGAGCCAATCGAGAAAAAAAAACGCAAATAAAAATTATTCGAAATACAAATCGTTTTTATTTATGTTGTTCTGCTGTGCATACCGTTATGTCACTTTGCATAGATCTTCTGTTCTGTTTATCTTAAACCATCCCGTGTGTTTTGTGAAATCACCGTGAAGGTACGACATAAAAAATTCACCGACATAAAAAGCACAGTCGATTTTATGCGGATAAATGCGCTCGATAATGTTCAATCGTTCTAATTTCATTATGATGTTAAAAGGGAAAGCACGCGTGCACTCGCTCTCTCTATCGGCAAACTTTTTGCATTAATATAATTACATTTTAAAATCCCTTTGACAAACTCACTCGCTGGTAACTCACACAATGTTGTTGCTTCACTTGGCACATCAAATTTGGTTTACCGAAACTAATTTGTTGCTTTAAGATGATTACAGATCTTGAATGGCGGTTTTCATCGTGCTAGTAATACTATACTATGTGCGGTATGTAGAACGGACTATGTAGATCACTTTTATGACATTGATGACACAAGAAATTGGATGTACTTATATTTTACTTACCGTCGAATCGATGTGAAATATTGGTCGAGAAAGTCTTTAGCATGTTCAAGTATCACGTCTGGCTTGCGCGCTTCGGTTGTGATTAATGGGAAGTTTGCACCGTGCACAATGCTCCCCATGCAAATGGCTCGCGAACACGCCAACGCATTGCTCGGTGTTTGCTGCAAGGAAAAAAGAAGAAGAAGAAAATCATGATGAAGACAATGAACAGTTGTGGTGATGAAATGAATCCGGTGTGCTTTTGTTGTCCATCTAGCTCACTCTCTATCTTTCTCTCTCTCTCTCTCTCTCTCTTTCTCCTTGTCTTTCTCTTTCTTTCTTGCTGCTCACTCACTCTGTCTATCTCTGAAAACCACCGACTGCGGCGAAATCACAAAAACCCAACTAAGGAATCGTTCATAGTAGCATTATGGTAAGGGAATTTCCACCACAAAACTTCACTGAATTATAGTTATCAGATAAATTTTTCAGAAAGTTTCTCAGTGCCACGCGCGCAAACAAGGATACGACAAGGATGTTCAGTCCAAAGCATCGCTCTTCATATATATACAATTCGGGATACGAAATGGTTTTTTTGTTGTTCACAAAATGGTTTTGCTTTTGTATTCGATTTACAACAGACAACGAATTGCGGCTTATTCTCTCTATCTCTCTCTCTTTCTCTCTCTCTCTCTCTCTCTCTCTCTCTCTCTGTGTGTGTGTGTGTGACTCTATGAGTGGGTTTACGTTTCGCTTTCTATTTCGCATCGATCCATGTACGAATCACGTGCATTCATATGTGCTGTTATGATATGAGTGGCATATGCATTTATTCATTGGGAGATCGAGGATACGAACATTTTCTTTGTTCGGATTGAATTGGAATATAAATACAATCGAAAAGGATAATCCATGCGCTATTCGCGCTCTCACTCGATTCTTATCGACCGTGTTCGTATTCGGTGTGTGCATGTTTTTGATAACAACAAAACCACGTCAAAACCAACCCCCGGGAAGCGTACACAAAAATATAATCTCGACGTTTATAAACCAATGCGCATCGTTTTGCTATTAATCAGTGTGTTGCGATTATTTTTGTTGTTGCTATTATTCAATTGGTGAATTGACGAGATAGCCACTCTAAATGTAAACACATACGGTACGGATACAATACACGTACAACCATTCACATTCGAATTTTCAATTCTTTTGAACGTTCATTTTTGGAAATGGTTTCTATGTGAAGGCGCTTGTGAACATTGTATCGACTACTGTAATTCAACGCAAACTACAAATGTTCACTCGAAAATGGATTCTCTTTTGAATGACTCGTCCAGAGCGAGCAAAAATGTTGGTGCTTATCAAAGCAATAGCTTAATTGAGTTCACTACTATGTTGGTGGAAATTTTGTGGAAACTCGGTTGAATATTACTTTTGCTTCCGCTTCAGTGCCACGAGAACAACTGTGAATACAGGCATTTTCAGCCTATTCACTTTGGAAGGCCCTCAAGCGAACTAAGTGCAAATTATCGGATTTTAATCAGACGACCATTTTTTTCTCGTAGCTTCTAATAACATCTATTCTTGCCATTTACACTAATTAAACAACGCCATTTCCAGATGATTAGCGAGCATAACACGAATGAAAAAGAAGACAAACATCAAACGATTGAAATATGGAAGTTGGGCAAAGTCAATTTTCTGATCATTAATTTCTTTTTACAGACGACGAACGACGTCTTTCGTCTCGCCTGAAGTCTTTTTTCTTTCGACTTTTTACCCACACTCACTCCGTCGTTCACTTGTCATTATCTAATCGCTGCTGAAAAATAGATTTCAACGCTTTTTGCCTGCAGTGGTGTTGCAAAGACTGCAACAAAAACGAAATGAAACGAGAAAAAAAAAATGTGAGTAGCATTAATCCAATATGTCATTCCAATGGATTGGGTGTGTGGGTGTTTTAATTCAAATAGAATGTATCAAGCGATTATGAAATATGACGAGTGTTGGAGCAATGGAAGGTAAAATAAAATAAATCAATGATTACTTTTGTTATTGTCGTCGCCATTCGGATCATACCAATTTTAACTCATCATATTTGCGCTCATAAACCGTGCGAAGGTGCACAAAGAGAACGATTCACCGTGAATTCGTAAATGAAAAAGTTTTTTTTCTTGCAAAATTTATTGTGGCGTCGGTTTATGTAGCATTTTGGTCTGTGTGTTTGTGCTTTACGATGGCAATGACTCGCCGGTGATGGCAAATTGAAATAATGTGCCACGACGCTATATATTCCTTAGTAAAAAAAAGTTCGATGCACGGAGTGTTTCGTTGAACGCTTGACTGACGATCCCCACTTCGTTTCTAACTCACACACAATTCAATCTAGACCAAATGATTTCTCTGCAAAAAGTTTCCACTCACACGCACACAAACATGCATAAAAAGTCAGTTTTTTGGAAAACAAAAATTGAAAAAAAAACAAATATGACTTCAAAGATATGTATCATTCAAAACGTTCGTGTTTTTTGCACCTCATAAACAGATATGAAAAATAAAGTTTTACCATTGGAAAAGGAGAAAAAAAACAAGTGACGACGAAACGCAACGATTTGAATTTATGTTCATTTGGATAATGAATGGCACACATCTTTTCAATTTCAGCACTGGCTTAATTAGATCTCGTCCAAAGAGCTTTCGGCATCTTCATTTCATCACGTTTTTTGTCCGCTGAGCACATCTCTCGCTCTCCTTCGTTTGATGCGAGTAGCACTGATGAGTTGCATTCCGTAAATTGGGCAATGCATATTTATATGCTATGGATAAGACACTTTTGTGAATGTTTATTTAAAATGTGACGTATGCCTTGCAGTCACAAATCATTTTCAGCTGAAATGTCAGTCAGTCGTTGTTTCGAATATATAAAATGAAACATTTCCAAATGGTTCAGCATTTTTCAGCGTAATTATTTACGTTGATATAAAAGGCCAACATGTATTCTGGGTGAGTTTTAAACGTCTTTCATGTGGAAACATCGGGCAAAAATTATGATAGATGGACTATAAACCATGCCAGTGGTTTTTTGACGAATTTTCGATCTGAATGCCTTGAAATTGTATTCAAAAAAAAAACTTTTACGTTAATTGAATTAGTTGAAAAACTCATTTGAATGTACTCAAATATGTTAATGCTCGACAGGGATAGTGGTCAAACGATAGCCCGATATTATTTCATAATTTGCATCAATCCCATGAAAATTCACTCGGATTTTAACACGGAGAGTCTGTTTTCGAAGTACAAACGGAACAACAGAAGGGTATAAAAGTGCGAGAGGTTTTTGAGGCGATGAGTAAATTGAACATTTATGAGAATAGTTTTCGGATTAAGTGAAAGTTGGAATTGCCGAACGAAACCAAGGAACCATATCTGATCAAATTGTTAATTATGTTCACTTTGGATAAATCATCCGGCGCCACATTCGTTGGTTGGGAAAAACCTTTCCAAGAAGGGGTGAAAAACTTCGTCTGCCATAATTTGGCTTTAAACACTATTTTATTGCCTCAACAATTTACAACTAAATACTTTCGATCGGGTGAAAAGCGTTTCATGTAAGGGGAGAATGTACATGGGTATCGACATGCCAGCCTTTCTGATCATGAAAATAGTAAACAATACAGCGCCGCCTGGGGACCAAGTGCAATGTGTCATACTTTCAACATTCGAACTAACACAGACGCGTACTTGTTATAGCAAACTATATGCATGATTCTCTATTTCTCCAACCAGTCCAACCAGTCCAGGTGCCGCTTTATTTTTCTTGTTTGACGTTCCCTATCTGTTTGTACAGACGATCAGAGAGGCTGCGACATGCATGATGGAACAAAGCCAACTTTTGCATATTTGTCGAACATATGCTGCTACGTGTGTGAATAAATAAAGTGCAGAAAAATTTAAATATCAGCTACGTTCGTTCGCCCAGCACCAACAGAAACTGAGAGACTAATCTCGTTTTTATTTAAACAAGTGCCTTCATCTGAACACAGCTTGGAACATATAAATATTTGCATTTTATTCGAGTGTGTTCCACCACTTATGCACTCCGACGAAATATAAAGAGAGAGAGAGAGAGAGTGAATGAGAGAATGAGAGACGGAGGGAGAAGAAGGAGACAAGGGGAGAGCTTGTTGAAAACTCAATATGCAGTGGCTGACATGAATATGTTTTGTTTTGCTGTTGTTATGCTCTTTGTTTATACTGCATTTTAATTCAAACATAATTTCATTTTTCGTAAATTATTCAAGAGTACGTCGGATTGATGTGGAAAGAGCGAGCAACAAAAAAAATCCTGAATACATTACACACACACACACACGCATATAGATGCTAACACTTGCATGGAACGAGTTAATTCTATGCACGTGAATTGGATAATTGAAGGGAAAAAAAGCACTGTGTGAAACGTGTACAATGGCTACCGGAACCGATTCGAACAAATGAACCAAGAGAATTTGAAAATAAACGCGGTTAATGGTTTTTGCGTTTTACCTGGTCATCAAAATTTCAACATTGAATCAGGAACCGAAAAAAGGGGTTTGTTTAATCACTGTGCCCATTGGCCACATTCATTTGGTGGAGCAGAGAAAGAAAAACTCACTCGCAAAATTGCAACAATTTTCCATTCTTATCAAAATGCAAATTTAATTAAATTGAAAACGCTTACTTAATCCACACAACTGTTCGAAACATGCGAACGAGATGATGATGAAATGTGTGTGCGTTACATCAGTTGGCCGACGTGCAATGTGGATTTTGAATAAATTTAGTTTTTTTTGAGTTTAAATGGAATTTGGTTGTGTTTAAAAAAAAAATTCTATTTTAACGACCGACCAAAATCATCGCATCTACCTCCAAACTAAACCCTCTGAGTATATTTTGATCGACTGAATTAATTTGTGCAAATGCAAAAACTTGAGGAAAAAACACGTACACTTGTTAAACTTTTGCTACGGCAGTTACTCTATCTTTGCGGCACGGAAATTGCGGCAAAGTTGTATAAGCTCCTTTATGTTGAACTTAAATTCGAAGAAAATTCAATGCGCACACATTTTATTCGTTGCTTTATTCTGATTGAGATTGAAATAATGTAGTTTTTAAAATGTATTCATCAAGTTTTCGATCACCA